AGTAGGATATTATCATCTTTACAAGGATTTCTGACAGTACCGTGGATAAAGTTTCTTTCTATAATTTTCTTTACTATTGTTTTGCTAATCCACTGCTGCTCCGTATTTCCCTGTCACTGGTTGAGTCACATGACCAGGTTGTACAATCCATGTAGTATTGTAAATGCAATGGTAAGCATTCTGTAATAAGCTGGGTATTTTAAATCACTGCCATTCAGTTTATGAGGGGTTTGGGGCAAGATATATTTCCAGTGATTCTCTGTGCACCAAGTATAAATGCTGCATTCCGGTAGACTCAGCTATTCCTTAGTAAACTGCAGTGGACAACTACTGCACAAAGGCTAAATCATGAACCAGCAGTGAAACAGCCAAAACAAAATGAAATTGATTGGCTCATAAGGGAAAGGCTAAGAAAACTTCTCTATCTGGTGGCAGGTGCGGAGAAGGAAAATTTAAAGAAACAGGAGACAAATAGAAGAAAAGGAGCTGGAGAGCATTTATCAGATTAATGCAGTGTAACTTTAACAAAAGAATAAGAGTAGATAATGAGTGCTTTAGAACTAACCAAAAATTGATTGAGATGTTTTTAATGTATTAATCTTATTAATGAGCATATGGATCACCTACACAGTGCATAAAACAAACAAACAAACAAACACAATTCAGAACTATGTTGTAGAGCTAATGACGTACAAAGCCTACTTTATTAACCCATGCTAGTTTATATTGTGCTTTTGGTCCTGTAACTATTATTATGGAAGGTAGTAAGTGAAAGAATTAAATAATTTAAATGGTGCTGAACTGGCTATGTGTTTGCAGACAAGTAAAATAGTCGCAATACAGTACTTTTATTTATCATGGGCCAGATTTTTAAAGGTATTTAGGTATCTAAAAATACTTCAAAAACTACTCTGATTAGAGCTGGCTGAATATTTTTGAATGAACAATTTGTTCATCTCTTTTCTTTTTCAAAACTATAAATTTCGCCCCCAAATTGCTTTTTTAGAAATGTACGTTTTGTTTTGATGAAACCATAAAAGGCAAGACTTACTCAGTTTTTTCAGTGTATGGTTTTTCCTCCCCGTTCTCATTTCCCCCTTCTCAATCACTGTTTTCTGTAGAAAAATGGAAAAAAAGAAAAAGAAGGTGGGAAGGAAATAGTAAAGGAGGAAATCCATACATTTTTTTCATGAAAAATTGAGTAAATGAAAAATCATCCTTTTTAAAACCTATGGATTGAAAATAGCTTTTGAACATTTCAAAGTCTTCATAATTTAAAATGTTAAAACTTCAAAGTTTTCCATTGTTTTTTATCAGCTCTACCTATGATCCCAGGTACCTTCAATTTAGATCCAATGTCAAATAGATGTCACGTAAATAGTTCCATAGACTAAAGTGGCACTACTCATGTGTGTAAGGGCTTCAGGATCATGCCCTCTGTTAAATGAGAGATGCTCCTACCAGACATGCTAATTAAATTACATGTATGCAAAATATTATGCAACTGCCCCAAACCCACATATATTTTGTGTATTACAAAAATAAATCTCAGACCAGGCTTTGGACATCAAGGTGTGTAAGGTTTATGAGTGTTTTAAGGAGCAGGTCCTCACAAGACAGTTAGATGCCTAACTCTCATTTAAATCAAAGGGAGTTAGATGGCAAAATACTTTTGAGCATCTAGGCCTAAGTGAGCAACGGTCATGTTTCAAGCCAGTTGGGATTTAGCTTCTGGTTTTGGGTTGAAATCATGCAACATTCTTAATTTTAGAAGATGGGCTTCCATGTGAAGCATAATTTCAACACAGGTTTGCTTTGGGATCATTTGAACCTGAAACCCCAAGTGAAACTGAAGAGGTAAAAGGGAATCCAATTGGACTGAAATCAAAGAAAAGAACACACACAACTTTTTTGTGTGGAGTGAATCCTTTGGGAAAGCACTGGACTAGTTTTTAAAAATCATCTATCTGTTGGTTTTTTGCTTTCTTGTTTGTCTGCATTAGGAAAGCACCAACACTTCTTTCTTTGGATTTACTGTAGCACAATCAAATCAACCTTCCTCAGTTTGGTTTTCATGGTTCATTGTATGAGAAAGAACAATGACTTCTTTTGTCAGCCATGCAGATGAAAATTATTTTGCTTATGATTATTCAATATAAATTGTTCCATTGCTACAACAGAACATATCAGCATGGAAGGATTTATTGCCCAATTTTACCTCTCAAGATTCTAAAACATTAGAATACTGCTGTCTACTTTGGCACACAATGAGATAAAGGGTAAAACAGGAAAATCCAAGTATGCTAGGGAATGCTATTGGATGGTCCCCACATTTGATCTACTTTAAAGCATGTACTCTACTTAGGAAATGGGCTGTGTAACAATGCACTTTCTTATTGAACAGATTGGGGTAAAATTTTCCAAAACACCTAAGTATAATGACATGAAAGCCTAAGTCCCATCTGTAAAAGTGACTTAGACATTTAGGAACCTAAGTCTCACTGAAACTCAATGTGACTTAGATGGCTAAGGGCCAGATTATCAAAGCTATTTAGGCACCTAAAGATGCAGATAAGCCCCTAGTAAAATTTTCAAAAGCACCAATTAGAGTTAGACACCTAGTTTGCATATGCATTTTTGAAAATCCCACTAGGTACTTATCTGTATCTACAGGTGCCTAAATGCCTTTGACAATCTGGTTGTGAAAGTGGGATTTTGGCTCCAAAGTCATTGAGGTGATTTGGAAAATTTTACTTCTAATCTCCTAGTTCAAGATCTTATGTGGTTACTGAAGTAACAAAAGCAAATTGTAACTTTTTTTTTAAAATCATTTTCAGCCCAGAAGTCAAAACTGCTGAGGGAATGAGCTGGTTTCTAAACTGACTTATGTATCATCAAGAGTTAACGAAGTGGGCTGTAGTCCACGAAAGCTTATGCTCTAATAAATTTGTTAGTCTCTAAGGCTTGGTCTACACTAAACCCCCAAATTGAACTAAGGTACGCAACTTCAGCTACGTGAATAACGTAGCTGAAGTCGACGTACCTTAGTTCGAACTTACCACCATCCAGACCCGGCAGGCAGGCTCCCCCGTCGACTCCGCATACTCCTCGCGGCGAGCAGGATTACCAGAGGCGACGGGGAGACCTTTTGAAGTCGGTGTTC